GTGATATGGATGGAACCAGAAACCCTCATGAGGGGGCAGCAACCTGCTGTGGGCCCTGCTTCGGGCCAGCCCAAGTCTGCACTCAGAGGGCCATATTCCTAAAGTGGATTGTTCTTATACAGGTAAGCAAGCCTTTTCACATCCTTTGTGTGAAATTCCTGGAACTGTCCCCTGTCCATCCCACAGTCACATTGGTAAGGTCTCATCTCCTGTGTTTTTTCTCCTTAGACGGTGCCAACATGCCACAGCAGAATACACAGAAGAGTCTGTGTGACTGATGTGGATGGTACATCGATCTATGTGTCTCCATGTGACTTGAAAACAATGGTCCTGGGACCATAATCATGCTATGCTGGCTTTTGTGTGTAACAGTGTGTCTTGATAGTGTTCCAGCACTAGGAGAACACATCTGTCACATCTCTTCTGTCCTCTGAGCACCACTAAGCTTCCAGGACAGACATTTTAATGTGCTCAATCTGAAAAGCAAAGAGAACATTATTCGACTCTGGGGTGAGAAGAGTACCCCAGAACCCCATGCTTCCCAACCTACCGAAAAAAAACTCTGGGAAAGTACATTTTTCCGGATCCAGCTGGCCTCAGCCAATGGATCTCCTCACAATAAACTGAGGAGGACCTCTCAGGTGACTATGGACAGTCTGGGGGGAAGATCTGGCCTCTCACATTGTGATATCCCTAAGACAACTGTATTGTTCACCTGGCCCCATCCCCAGGAATATAAAGCCACTGGTGAGTATCTCTTTCTGTCTCTGTCTCTGTGTCTCTCTTTCTTTCTCTGCCTCTCTTTTACATGAACAACTTCCAGGCAGGTCAGCTGTTCTGTCTTAAACCAAACACTGAAGATTGCTCTAAACAGCAATCCCAAAAGGCAAACATAAAATAAAAATTCAAATTGATTGAAATAGATACATGATATTAAAACCGACCAACCAAAAAATCACACACATAAATCCTTGAATGACCTACCCTAATAATAATAGTCTCACAGAATCATGCTAAGGAAGCACATTCCACCTACAACCAAAGATGGAAATTGGCTTTCTTTCCCTGACAGGTGTATTAAGGTGTCACATGCACAAGTCCATTTTATTTTCTGACATTTGTTCTGTCTACTTTTCTACAAACTGTTTTCATCTGCTGTTTTGTTTCTTTGTCTGTTTTTTTCTTTGTTTTTAGATACAAGGTTTTTCAGTGTAGGTTTGGTGCACGTCCTGTTTCTCATACTGTAGACCAGACAGGCCTTGAACTCACAGAGATCTGCCTGGCTCTATCTTCCCAGTTTGGGGATTAAAGGCATGCACCACCATCGCCCAACTCCTCTGCTGGTTTATGTGTTTATACAGAGTATTGCCCTATAACTCATGTTAGACTAAATTCAGTATAGAGTCCAGACCGGCTTTAAATTACTGAGGGTCCTGCTCCCTCAGGGTCTCTTAGGTGCACTGGAACACTGTTAGTGCTTGTGGTTTAGTCAAAGTCTCATATATCCCAGGCAGGCCACACTAGCCAAAGATAACCTTGAGCAGGATCCTCTTCTTCTTGTCTCTATCTCCCCAAGGCAGAAATTCCAGTTTTAACCACTCTGCCCTGTTAAGTATGAAAATCTCAAGGCCTTTATAGGCAGGAGTGAGTTGCAGGCTGAGTGGAATCCCATCTCATAAAGAATATGGAAATTCTGAACATTTTGAACTATCAGATCTGGACACAGTCTGGGGAGAGGGGGAATGGCTAAAGTGCCATAGAGAAAGGAAGGACTGCGTGAAAACTAGATGTGGCCCTGTTTTTATGTCATCTGAGGCCTGGGGCTGAAGAGAGGCAATTGTGGGAGCTTGCTGGCCTGAGGTCAGTGAGACACCCTATCTCAAAAATCAAGGTGATGTGGAGCACCCTTTAATCCCAGGACTGGGAGGCAGAGGCAGGCAGTTCTCTGTGAGTTCAAGGACAGCTGGTCTAGAGAGCCAGCTCCAGGACAGGCAGGTAAACTCAGAGGAACCCAGTCTCATAGAACAAACAAAAAGAACTAAGTTGCGGGGCTGGAGAGATGGCTCAGAGGTTAAGAGCACTGACTGCTCTTCCAGAGATCCTGAGTTCAGTTCCCAGCAACCACATGGTGGCTCACAACCATATGTAATGAGATCTGGCGCCCTCTTCTGTATACATAATAAATAAATAAATCTAAAAAAAAAAAGAAGGTGCAAAAGCATTGCATGAATATTCTTGCTCTACATGTATGCTCAAAGGCTTAGAACAGACAGACAGACAGACAGACAGGAAGACACACCCACACATATCCACCACTACACTTGTGATCACACATGGATCATGCACAAACACTCACACTCTTTGTGCAGAGTTCAACACCCTGTCCTTACCCATACCCTCGCTACTGTCTACTCCTTGTAATCATGACCTTTTCTTTTCTTTGCCAAAATACATGACTCTTAAACCCCACAATGGCATAATGACCTGTCCCCTCTAATGAGGCATCCTCTCATTTTTTTACTTTCCTCTTGTTTTGACTTGGGTTTTCTGTGTTTAGTTCAGGTTGCCAGTGTTTTTGAGGGGTTTTGATTTTTAAATTGTCTATGTATCGGTGGATGACCTTGAACTTTTAATCCTTTTGCCTCTACTTACCTAACATAGGGACTACAGGAATTTTCCACCAAGCCTGGTTTATATGGTCCTGGGGACCAAACCCAAGACTCCCTGCATGCTAGGCAAGAGCTGTCCCAACTGAGTCACACCTGCAGCTTAGACATGCAGGACCAGTACAGTAAGTCCTGTGTGTTCCAAGGCCACTAAGAATCTCCTTCCTGTGTCTTTCTACTTTGTAGTCCTGAAGACGTTAAGCCCCAGCTCCATGGCTTCTGAGCCACGGGTTGGGGACCGGTCTGGCTGAGAATCGGACAGCCTCACGGAGAGCAGGCCAGATGTCCAGGAGGCAGTGTGGACACAGGACCCTCCTGCAGAGGAAGACCTGTCCACCCCAGCGCTGATCTCTCCTGGTAAAATCCCACACAGGAAGGACAGGCTTTTCACAGGGTCTTGCTCAGAGGGGAGGGCTGAGGTGCAAAGGGGCCCTAAGCTGTCTCATGGAACAATAGCCCCTTGCCCTCTTCCCCTGCCTGGATAAACATCAGAGATTGCCCTCTGGGTATTCAATCACCTTTGCTCCCTGTTTCTGGGCAGAGAACATGGTCTTCTCCATGAGGTGAGACTTCTCTCCTCAGAGAGAGTATTTCTAGTCAGCCTGTCCTACCTGCCCCAAGAGGGGTTCCCAGGTTCAGAATGTGGCCAGCAAGCAGCCCTGTCGAGCTCCAATAGAGTTTAGCTGTGGTGACTGTGTTCCCCAAAATATTGTACATCCTAATAAATTTATCTGAGTCAGAGGACAGAACAGCCACTAGACATAGGGGCCAGAAAATGGGGGCACACACGCCTTTAGTCCTATAACTTGGGAGGCAGAATTTCATTTGGATCTCTTTGAGTTAAAAGCCACACTGCAAACAGCCAGGCATGGTGACTCATGCCTTTAATCCCAGAGTGAGCCTATAATCCCAGGAAGTGATGGTAGGAAGCAAAAAGGTATATAAGGTATGAGGACCAGGAACTAGGCAGGTTAAGCTTT